TCATCTGCATGCAGAGCACCTCGTCAATGTACAGCGTGTTCTCCTTGACCTGGATCTCCTCCTCCAAGGAAAGCTGTCGGCGGCTCAGACCTTTCAGCTCGCTCTCAGCCTGGGCCAGCGTGTCCTTTAACCTGAGGGAAAACACAGGCAGGCGTCAGCTGAAATGACATGGACACTTTGGGATTTGGTTTTTTTTTTTACATGGGGAAGAATTCTGAGGGAAATAAAAAATGGAAGGGAAAAAATCCATGCACAGACACAATATCCATGCAGCTTCCCCTGAAGTGTCCTGTCCGTAAGGGAAAAGCAGTTCCCAACCTTTCAGGGAGAATAGCTGGGCCCCAGTGTTACTCTGACTCATTAAATTAACCCAGTAATCTATACCACAGATTTTCCCCTCTTCCATCATTTCCACTTGCCTTTGAATATTGTTTGTGATCTCCTGAACTTCCCCCATCAGCCGGTGCTGCGCCGCGTCGTAACACAGCTCCGCGTTGGGGCGACGGCTTCTTGCTTCCAGGCGGGTTTGAGCCACTTTCCCAGGCCCTTCTTTGTCAGCGATGGCTTTCTGCAAGACTGCAATGTTCTTCTCCTGCAAGGCAGCCTCATCCAGCACCTGCACAAACCAACCGGAGGAAGTGCTACGCACAGTCTCTTACGATGGGTCAAGTCACCCACATCTTCAGCGGTTAAAGGAACAGCAGTCACAGCGATGCTCATTATGTTGTTATTTCAAAGGATATTTTCCAAAGGTCAGGCAGGATTACAATTTCTTCATTGGAAAGCAGGTGACACTGTGCTGAGTGAAACTGCACACTTGTGCTCAGCAATTAATTTTTAACTGTAACACTCGGTTTTCACGTACCAAATTCTGAGCACATGGACCCCGATTCCGCAGGTGGTTAGGCTCTTGTCTCACAAATCGTGAGACATCCGCAGGAGCCCCACGTAACTGAAAATCACAGGGGAAAGCCTGGCTTTACTGAGGGCTACAGCAACACGTAAAACATCGAGTCAGCGCTTCCAGAAATTCAGCTCTGCAGTGGTGTGCACAGAGCTGAGACAATAAACCCTAAGATAACTTTTGGGGGGATAGGGGAGAGGGAGAGGAAAACGTTGCCAGTACTCCAAAGGTAAAATTCTTTATCTCCCAGAAAAGCGGGAGATAACCCAAGCCCATTGCTTCCCCACCACTTACCATCGCAAGGAGCGTCTCTAGCTTGCGCTTGGCGTCCTTGACCTCCTCCACCCTCCTTCTGAACGCGACATTCACCACCTCCCGTTGCTTGCGCATGTCATTCGCGGTCTGCGAGAGGATGCCGTCAATCAGCGCTCGGAGCGCCAAGGAATTGTTTCTCTGCTTGTCAGCCTTCTCAATGTTCGTGTTTGAGAAATCGATCCAGTCTTCGGGGCTAACAAAGCTGAGAGAGATTCAAAGTAAAAGGTCACCAACTGGCAGCATCCGGCCCTCTGTGCCTGCATAATTTTGTAATTCCTCCACAAAACCGAGAACAAAGCAGTACAAGGGACTGCACGTCCCAGTTGTGCTGGAAATTCTACAGATACAAACCCAAGAACTCTGTTGCAAACAGTTCAGAACAAAGTAGACAAGGGTAGGATGGAAACGAATTTGGTAAAGAGCCACTTTGTTATAGCTGTCCTTTCCCTGATGAAGGATTAAGTGGTTGTATGGGAAACAGGAAATTACCACTATTTCTTAGAACACCCTTCATTAATTAAGCTGTTATTACTAACATAATTCAGCTGTTACTACTACTAGCAGGAAACGATTCACACAAAGCAAACACTTGTCTCACACAGTTCACCCCCTCTAAGTCACTTACAGCTCCTGGCTGGAGCAATCGTGGGGAAGCCAACACCCAGCTGTAACCCCAGATTTAGAGGGACCCCAGTGGCTTGCAGGCAGGTGTTTGGGAAGTTCCTCGGCGGGTTCCTTGTTTCACTGGGTGGACATAAATCTGGAACTGCCCTTTGCGAAGAGCAGCCGACACCGTTCTGCGCGTGGCCCGGGTCATGCGTGCTGCCAATGCACGCCCACGGGCTAGCGGCAAGAGCTGTCACGTGGCGCCCCACGTTTGCCAGTGTTCGCCGAGCCAACAGTGTCCGTGGGGGCTGTCTCACACGCTGCGCTCTCAGTACGGCTCCTCTCTTCAGCCTGTTGGTCCGTGGCAGCTGCTGCTCCACCTGCATCGTTCGCACTAACCCACACCGAAGGGGCGCCTTTGAGAGGCTGACGACCGAGTCACAAGCCAACTCCACACCTCAGGTGTCCCCATCCAGCAATCTCCCCACAGGAGAGGAGAGGAGGTAGATTAGCACATCTGTTCTGGGTTTAAGCGATATGTGAAACCTTTCCTCGGCTAACCGTGAGCCTTAGAAACTTGCAGTAAACTGCAGTTCACGTGATTACTGTGGCTTATTTCACGGATATCTTACACAGATACCAAAGTGATGGACAGAAGGATAAAAACCAACCTACACCAGATGTAGGATGGACAGATATAGTTTGTCTTACACAAAATTACTTCAATCTTGCTATTAGTGGAACGGCTCGAACTACCTGTATAATTATCACCTGCTCCTTGTACTTACTTTCCTTCTATTTTCACTGCATTCTGCACGTATCCGATATCAGGAGTGGTGTTTGTCAAGGCAGCACAGTAATCATCAATCATCAAAGCTCGGAACTTGTCCTTCAGATCCATTTCCAGGTTGTATTTTGCTGAACGGTTTAGTCTAGAAGGAGAAAAAACAAGTGCTGGCACTCCCAGGCGTCCCTAACACACGTGCACGCATGCGTCAAGTAGTGCAACGCGGTTGGGGAATCCTTCATGTATGAACTGTTGGTTGCAAAGTCCCCAGATCCAGAGCATGAAGCTGCCTCCTTATAAACTGATAGTACAGTTCCCATTGGAATTAATGGCACAGGACTGGATCGTGAGTAGACCAGGGATTGCATGTGAGTACTTGGAGTTCCGACAAACAGAACCCCTCACCGTTGCTGATGGAACGGTGCAAATTGGGACTGACCTCCTGTGACTGTCTAGCACTGAAGGGAACTTTGTGCCCGTGCTCAGCCTGAGCCTACAGCTCCTCAGGATTATGGTGTCCCACTCTGCCGCTAAGCAGCGTTCCGTTACGCTCTTTGCCTCTGCACCTGATTTGCTCCTTGGTTTGTTCCAATGTACGTCCAAGCAAAGCGATAACCCCTTGGATGACTTCAGCTTCCTTCACCAGCTCCTGTTCCACCTCATCATGCACCAAGTCAATCCCAGCTCGCCTCTGCCTAAACAAAGAGAGGAAAACACATCAGTCACTCGGTTGAAATGCCTGCAGCTAACAGAAGATGACGAAGCCCACCTTTCCAAACTGAAGGCTTTCCCTTGCCACATGGGAAGTTTTTCCTTTACGGCCTTGGCTCCCCAGTGTGGAACACCTAAATCAGAGCGACTCCTCTGCAGAGGGAATCAGGCCCTTAGTTTGCAGCCTTTTCATTATTGGTTAAAGGTTCACTACCTACATTTTTTTTCCCTCTCCCTGAATGCTTTCCTCCTGAATCATCTCACCTGTTCAGGAGACACTTCTGGGCAATGATGAGCGGCTCTTTGCAGCTTTCCAAAGATTTCTCCAGCCTAGTCTTGAGAGTCAAGAGTACCTCTGTCTCATGAACAATTTGTTCGAGTTTGTTATCTAATTCTTGCTTCCAGAATTTTATTTCTTCCCATCTCTGTGCTGCAGAAGGAACATTGCAAACAGGTATTAGTAGGAGCTCATCTTACATGCCAGAGCACTGCGGGTCAGATCTCAGACACGGCTAAGAACAGACTTACGCCACAGTGGCGTAATTTATTTGTTATAAAGTAATTTATTTGTTATAAAGAATCTGTCTCAAAATATTTTGAATCTTGCCATGAGATCAGAGCGCATGCCGTTGGCCTGTGTTCCTATTCACAACCAACTGAGCCTCTAGGTCCATCTCGGACATACAGCTCAAATAACACATCTCGACACTTGCAGAACACACGGGATTTACCTATTTTCTTGTTGACATCGCTCTGGGTTTTCTGAGTTGTCTTTTCTACTTCATCCAGCAGCCTCCGGCTCTCAGCTATCACGCGCTCGGACCTGGACTTCTGAGACTCTGTGCTGGCACGCTGCATCTGATTTGCAATGTCCCATTCCGCGGGATGAAACTTGGGTGGGGCTCGCCACAGTCTGGCCATTGTTGGTTTGAAAGTGTCTGGATATAACGCAGGTCCTTGGAATATGGAACCTGAAAACAGGAATAGCATTGCGTTTGGCTGCGGAAGCAGAAGGGGAGAAGGCAGGTCAATGAGGGTGAGGAAAATCCTTGACCCTGTTACCTGCAAAATGATACAGGTATGAAAAGACTTCTTGCTCAAGGCTCCCCCGGACTTTGCTCAAGTGTGGGGGTGAGCGTTTGTAGTGGGAAAAATGAGGAAACAGAAAAATTGGAAATAGAAGCTCAGAAGAGAAAGAGGCTTGAAAGTGGAACTGAGAGGAAAGGATGACTGTCTGCGATAGGAGGGAGAAGGGAAAGAAAAGGAGACCCGTGAGGAAGGACAGAATTACTAAATGGACAATCACAGAAAACTGAGAAAAAGTGAACAAGTAGTGATAAATAGTCCCCCACAGCCCAGAGAAGTAAACACCTTTAGGAATATGGCCGGGGAGGTGGATAAAGTCTAGATTGTAAAAAAGAAAACAGGACCTGAGGAGGAAATACAGCAGGTGACGGAGGAAGTGGAAAAGCCCAGGAAAGGCTAAAGCAGAACAAAGAACCGAGCGTACTGGGGACACTGGTTTCATGTGGGGTGAAACCAATGCCC